GTTGTTGCAGCAACTGTCTACCAGTCCTCTACACTCCTGGCAAAGTACAGAGGGAGATGTCTCAGGGATCTTTCCATTCCTGCCACAGCACTATTTTTTTAATACATATTCTTTCTGCTTTTCTTACTTTCTAATATATTGCCTCAGTGAAAGTAGGCTGCTATGCTGAGCAACGGGTGGGGAAACTGAGGCAGGCAGAAGCAGAGGGACTTTCCTGCAAGTGAAGTGAGGCAGTGACCACAGGCCAGCATCCCCACCTCTGAGCTGTCTTCCCTCAGGCAGTACTGTGTCTCCCTGCTTCTTCTGTCCCTCAGGCAAGCTCAAGAAGTTTGAGAATGGCACATGGCATGTGGTGCCCCCTGAAGACCAGGTGAAGATGACCAAACTCGATGGGCAGGTGTGGCTTGCCCTCCTCAACCTCCTGCTCAGCCCTGAGTGCCAGCGCAAATACCACTTTGATGGCTTCAACAAGAGCCAGCTCCTCAAGGTAGGACCCTGCAGCACAAAGGCCATGGGCCCTGCAGCAGAGTGGGACCTTGCCAGCACTGGGCACCTCTGGACTCTCACCCATCCTCACTGTGCGCTCCAAGGAGCCAGTGGTGGGATAACAGCAGGTCTGTCACTGTACCAGCAGCAGCAAAGCTTGCATTCCTTAATGCACCTCATGAGACCCCTGTGGTTTACTCTGCCAGTGCCTCACAAATCCCTGCTCTTGCCCTGCTGCTTCCCCAGCTCTGGCTCCTTTGTCTTGACCTCTCTCCATTCTCTCTTCTCTCCTCCATGGCCACAGCTCCGTGTGTTCCTGACAGACGTCCTCATTGACCAGCTGCCAAACCTGATGGAGATGCAGAGATTTCTGAGCCACCTGGCAGTGACAGAGCCAGCTCCCCCCAAAAAGGATCTTGTCCTGGAGCAGGTATCCTTTGGCTCTTCCTTCACGTCTCCAGATGCTCTGCTTTAAGCCTGATAACTCTCTACCTCCTTCTTCTCCCACTAAACTCTGGAGAGGTGCCCTGGAAAAACAGCCAAGCACCCATCTCATAGTTACACCCTTATTGCCTGTGGGTGATGTGAGAGCTTTGTCCTGCCACTGCAGTGGCCAAGCAGTCACATCTAAAGACATAAATGCTGTGGTATAAACAGCTCTCCAGGTCACACCGAATCCCTGGGATGGTGGCTGCATGGAGCAGACACAGCCCCTGGTTTGTTTTGGCAATTAACTCTTCATCTAACTTTTTTCAGTGTTTTCCTTCTGAATTATGGACTTCCCTGGGAAGTGTCCCCTTTTACAGCCCTGGCTGGGGCTTCTTGGCACACTGTGTACTGAGGGACAACACAGTCTGCTGATAGAGGCTGGAGTCAAACTGGTCCCAGCTGGTGTGTGGACCTTGGGAGTTGGGCACTGATGGTCTTCAAACACGCATGAGGTTCTTGGGTTTTTAATCTGTGCAGTGGTAGTCTCTGGAGAAAAGTGTTTCTACTGCCTTCTCGTGAGCTGAGGGGAGAAACCGAGTGTGGGGGCAGATCTGCAAAGAGGCTACTGAGAAAAGCTGGGAGAGCAGAGGCTCTTCCCCACTGCTGGAAGCTCCCATGCCACTTCCTGGAGTGGATGAGTAGGTTGGGCAGCGGCCTTTTGGGCTGTGTGGAGGGGAAGCACACTGTCCCCACGTACCTGGCCCATGGCCTGGGAGGAGGGTGATGTGCCCTGTCAGCGCTGGATGTGGCTGATCCGTAGGCACAGCCCAGGCCAAGAGCTGGGCCTAGGGAAGCTGCAGACCAGCAAGCTGAGTGGTTAGGGCTGGGGATGGCAGCAGGGCGGAGGTGGACATGGATTCAGGCCAAGTGCCTCGACTGCCAGCGTGTCGGTGGCACAGCGACAGGCAGCTGCCACGCTGGGGACCCTGTCCAGGCTGCTGCCCTTCTCGTAGCTCCGCTTTTGTGCCGGTGCTGCTCCTGCTCGTGCCAACGACCAGGGCTGAGCCCGGGGGGCAGGCAGGGGGAGCCAGCTGGAAGCACAGACATGGGCTCCCTGCTCTGCCCAGAAAGCGGTGAACTCACTCCTTGTCACTGAGCCAAGCTAAGGAAAGGCCTTTTTCCATTCGGTTGCTCCCAGAGCAGCCTCCTCCCCTTCAAGGCCTGGCTATTTTTACTCTGCTGGAGAAGGCAGTGCTGTTTGAAGCAGCATCGTCCTCTCCAGAGCTTGAACTCCCCATGCTGCTCTTGGCTGGTGCGTTTCCTTTTGAACTGGCCAGCCCTTCCCCGAGTGTTCATCTTCAGGGAAGTGACGAGTGGAAAAATCTGCTCAGGCAAACGGCTCCAGAGCATGGGGTTCATGCTGCTGCCAGCACTCAGGGTGCTGAGATCCCAGGGCTTTCTCTTCAGGAGCCCAGGCCTCAGACCCCAAGTTTTGCCTTGTTTCACCTAAACGCTCATTGGCAAGTGGATCCTTCCCCTCCATGTACCCAAAAGCACACACTGCCTCTGCTCACCCTCACCCTTGTGCCCAGAGCTGGCTGCCTCCCCCCTGAACAGCCCCGAACTACAGCACCTTTGGTCAGACTGCTAGAACCCCTTCCTCCTGCCCTGCCTCTCCCACCAGGTTCCTGTCATCTGGGACCACATCCTCAAGAAAAACTCGGGGAAGTGGGAGGCCATTGCCAAGCACCAAGTGAAGCATGCCTTCAGCCCCACTGAGGAGGAGCTGAAGCTCCAGGCACGCAGGTGAGGCCCTGGTACATGCACATGGGGTGCCATTGGGGCCAGTATGCCCATTAGCAGGGGCTGGAGCTCAGCACTGGGAGGACAGAGGGGTCTGTGGTGGCAGGGTGCAGTGGAGACAGCTTGCTGCAGGTCAGCAGTTCCCCATGAGCAGCCTCACCCTTCTCTGCCTGCATAGGTGGGCACAAACCTACAGCCTGGACATGATGGAGGCTCTGGCCCCCGACAAGCCCCGCTGCAGGGTGTGTGGTGTAGAAGCAGCCAAGAGGTGCTCTCGCTGCCGGAATGAGTGGTACTGCACGCGGTAAGGGAGCCCTGCCACCCCCTGTGTCCCCTGCAGTCCCCTGTGGCCCCTCCTGCAGCCCTTCAGTGCCCCCCAGAGCACCAGAGACCTCAGCAGAGGATACTGAGAAAGGGCCAGGGCAAGCCAGGAGTCCCACCCCTGTTCAGCACTGTCGGCTCTCCACTGGCCATGTACCTCTCCAAATCTTGTGGGAGGGTGATGTGCTGGGCTGCTGGTGCAGGAGGTGCTGGTGAGTGTTGTGTTGCAGCTGCGAGGTGCTGAGCTGCCTCTGCCCACAGTGACAGCAGTGATGGGCTGGGTTTTCTGTGGTGTCACTGTTTCTTTCCTCTGCATCTTGGTGTGGCAGGGGTGGGGAGGAAAGCACCCATGACCCCGTGGGTGCAGGTGACAGGCTGGGATGTGGCAGCTGGGATGGTGGCAGTAAATTAAATCTTCTCTGGTCCTGAACCATCTGGCAAGGTCTGGTGCTAAACCGTCTTAGCCCCCAGAACTGGGGGCCACATCCATCTCCCTCTTGGGCTAATGCTGGGCCATGCCAGCTCCCCTCAGTGCCCAGGGGACTGTGGTGCTGGGGTTTGTCCTTGTTACTCCTTCACTCCTGGAGGTGGACATGGCTCCACTGCCCCTGACAGCAGCTTTACCCTCCACAGGGCCTGCCAGGTTCAGCACTGGCAGAAGCACAAGCCTGCCTGCAACCTGATGGCTGAGGTGCCAAGGAGTGTTGTGGATGACCTGTAAGAGAAGGGGTGTCTGGCATCTGGCCCACAGCTCAGCAAGGCTGATGTTCCCCAGTGTGCAGCCCAGCAGCTGGAGAGAAGCTGGCAAAGGCCCCTTCTGCCTGCTCCCAGCCCCAGGCAGCACTGGCCGGGCTTGTCCTCTCCTCTCCCACTACCCCACCATGCTGCCTTCTTTAATAAAACTCCTTGTGCACCCCACAGCTGCTTGGCTTCTGCTTTTTCTTCTCTTAGCTGAAGATGCTAAACTGCTTGCTTTCCTCCCTTGCACCCAGCGAGAGGCATGTGTGTCCGTTTTCCCCTCTGCAACAACAGAAATCCCAGAGAACCTAAAAAAGCCTGTAAGGATGTGGTTACCAGAAGGACCAAGCCCTCTGCAGCCGGGGAGGGAAGGGGGCGAGAAGGCCTCCCACTGCCTCTTACTGTCGTTAGAGCAGCGTGGGGAGCAGAGGATGTGGTTTGCACAAACACCTCACTGTGAATTTCTCGGGTGTTCCTCATCTGCTACCTCGCAGGGACAATTCCCCCCCTTTCCTCTCTGTTGATGTGGTGTTGGCACCGAGGGCTTGCCCCCCTGCCCACCAGTATCACCAGTAAACGGGTGCATCCTCACCTCTCACTGCCAAAGGGCTGCAGCCTTGGTCTGAGCATGGCTGGGAAAGGTCGGCGAGGCCATGTCCTTTTGCTGATAGGGTGCCTAAGACTCCCTGACCCCCCAAAATAGGCTTTGCAGCAGTGCTGCTGCTGCAGGACCCATGACAGCAGACAAGAAACCACCTCGGTCCAGCTGCAGCCCCGACTGAGCAGCTCGAGCCTGGAGCATGGAGTAAACTCACACCAAACCCAGGCTGCACGTCCAGGGCTGCAGCCAGCCCGAGTGGGTCCAAGGCTCTCTGGCTGCCAGAGGTGCCTTTAGCCCTTTCCCCGCAGGGAACTGAGGCAGAGACCGCAGCTTGTCCCGGTCCTGAGAGAGGTGGCGGAGAGAGCGGGACTGCCGGAGCGGGCCCCCCCCTTCCTCGGCGGCGGCTCCGGGAGCCTCATCCCCGCCTCCAGCCCGCCCCGCCGGCCTCGCCGGGACCGGAGGTGGCCATCGGGACCCCGGGGCGTTTCGCCGTCTCCCCCTCTCCTGCCTCAGTTTCCCCCGCGGTGCCCGGACAGGGCGGCTCCTCCCGGTCCCCGCCCCGGCCCCGACCCCGGTGCCGGCCCCCTCCTCGCCGCCGCTCAGCGCCCGCGGCCGCCGGGCCATGGAACTCATCGAGCTGCGGGAGCTGCAGCCGGAGCCTCGGCCGGGCCGGGGCCGCCTGGAACGGGCCAACGCTCTGCGCATCAGCCCGGCCCGCCGGCCCGGCCCCGGAGCGCATCCTGACCCGCGGCTGACGGCGGCACCGGGCGGCGGGCACCGCTTCGAGCCGCGGCGCCGCGGGCTGCACACCTGGTGCGATCTCTGCGGGGACTTCGTCTGGGGCGGCGGCAGGAAGAGCCTCCAGTGCCGCCGTGAGTACCGCGCCGCGCCCCGGGCCCCCCGCACCCCTGCCACCGAGCATCCTGCCTCCGAGCACCGGGCATCCCGGCACCTGGCACCCCCGCCATCGAGCATTCCGGCACCTGGCATCCCTGCCAGGCACCGGGCATCCCGCCACTCTGCTTCCTCGGCACTGGGTGACTCCACCGAGCACCGGATAGCCCGCCTCCGGGCACCCCCACCACCGGGTACCCCTTTCACCGGGTACTAGGCATCCCACCATCAGGCACTGAACATCCCAGCGCTGGGCACCCACACTGGGTGCTCGATACCAATTACTCCCACCAGGCATCCTGGTGTTGGGCACTCCCACTAGTTGGGCATCACAATACTGAGCACCTTCACCAGGCACTAGGCAACTCCATTCAGAATACCCTCACCAGGCACCCCACATCCCTTTACTGGGCACCTGCACCAGGTACCAGGTATTCCAGCACTGAGCATCCTCACTGGCCACTGGGCATCCCAGTATTGGGCACCCACACTGGTACCCATGCTGGGCATCCTAGTACTGGGCATCCCAGTACCAGGCACTGAGCGTCTGACACTGGACAGCCCAGCAGGGCTCACAGGCACTGCAGGACCAGCCAGCACGTGGCACAGCACCATGTCCCATGTAGGTGCTACCCCTGGGTCCCTGGGCACTGCATGGGTAGGCAGCCCATGCAGCCCTTGTCCCACCATGCATGAGTGCCCTGACCCTGACACCCAGGCTGCCGGTGGTGGTGACAACTGGTCCTGTCCCTGTCCCCAGACTGCAGCTTCACCTGCCACTACCGGTGCCGGGCCCTGGTGCGGCTGGACTGCAGTGGCCCCCCGGGTGCCAGCGATGAGGATGATGGCAACGAGCAGGTGCTGGAGAAGGACACCAACGTGGTAAGGCCTGGGCCCATCCCTGAGGGAGAACATGGGCAGAGGG